CGGCAACCCACGGCAGCCCAGCCCCAGGCTGAGCTGCCATTCACCATCTTAGCTGCAGAGGGCAGTGTCACTGGCCCTCATATGTGGGATCCGAACCGGGGCTCTCTGGCATCCCAAGCCAGTTCTTAACCAATGCGCCATTCGGCTGGCCCTCCAAAATTATTTTAACTATTCTAGTTCTTTGGCCCTTTAGAAAATTTATATTCACAATATATAAATATTTCACAGTGGACAAATATATCAAACCATCAGGTTATACACTTTAAATATATACAAATTTATTTGTGAATTATACCTCAATGAAGCCGGGGGTGGGGTGTGGGGGTGGGGGATTTGAGGAGAAAAAAAAGACCAAAACCTTGATAGAAAAAGGGGAAAAGCCATGAACAACTATTTAAAAATATAAAAATGATCCTTAAATATGTTTAAACATGTTCAAATTCACTCAAAATTTAAAAAATAGAAATTAAACAACACTGAAATGCCATTTCTCACATTATCAGTTTGGTGAAAATTAAAATCTATGGCATGGCAACATAGTCTGTTGCTTAGACTGCAGGGAAACAGGCACTCTAATATATTGCTAGTGGGAATGCAGACTGTCAAAACCTTTCTGAACAGGATTCTGACAATATCAAACAAAGCTACATATGCAGTTAGCACTGCCTTCCCATCCTAGGAATTGCCTCCAAAAATATACATACACGTAAAATTATTTGTTGATGTATTGTGTGTAATTTCAAAATAATGTAAACAACCTATAGGCCCATACATAGAAGAATGATTGGATAAATCATGGTACACCCACAAAATGGGAGTACTTATGCAGCTTTAAGAAAAGAATGAGGGCCGGCCGAGTGGCGCGCTGGTTAAGAGTTGGCTTGGGACACCAGCTATGAGCAGCAGGGCCCCAGTTCGGATCCCATATGAGGGCCAGTGATGCTGCGCCCTCTACAGCTAAGATGGTGAACAATAGCTCGATCCAGAACTGGGCTACCATGAGTCGCCAATGACGACATAGGCTGCAGCCCCTGCTGCAGTGGGCTGCCATGAGCTACCACATGAGTGGCTAGCAGCCAACGTGAGCAGCTGGTAGCCAGTGTGAGCTGCTGTGAGCTGCCATGAGCAGCCATCCAATGGCCGGAGAGCAACTGTCTTACCTGGGAATAGCGCAATGATCACAATACCAACATGGGACAGTGAAGCGACATCCTCCACAACTAGACTGAAGAACAAAAGGACAGCAACTTTTCTGTTCCCCTTCCCCGATTCCCCAATAAAATCTTAAAAATGAATAAATAAATAAATAAATAAATAGAATGAGAAAGATCTCTACAAACTGATATGGACTGATTTGTATCTCTAAGTTTAAAAAGGAAAGTACAAAATGTTATGCTATATTTACCTAAGAAAGAAGGGGGTAAAAAATATATACTTGTCTCTGCTAATTTGTGCAGAAAGAAATACAGGAAAAATAAACTAAGTACTATTGAGATTGGTGAGTAAGAACTGTATGAAAAGAATGAGGACATGGGAACAGGGTAAAGGCTCAAAGAGGTGTACTCTGAGTAAGGTTTTTGTGTAGTACTCACTTAGAATCATGGTAGCATTTTACAAGCCAAAAGGAAATACAAACAGTAAAATGTGAGCGTAACTATATTAAAAATGAAAAATATAACCATACCGAATAGGTCTAGATGGAAAAGTACTAACCTAAATAATTTTGGAAGACGTTATTTTGACCTCATATCGTAAGGCCAAAGACAAAAACCACTGAACACAAATATTGTTCTCCAGTTAGTATATTTGCTAGTCACAGAGGCATGGGTTATTCTAAAAATACTTTACATGTATTATAGGATTGGGCAAATAAATAAACATATTGTGAATAACAGGGGGAAAAGGAAAAGTATTGGAGGTTTGAAAAGGGCTGTATGGTACAGAGTAGGAAATGGTGTAAAAAGCACTAGACAGCAGAGGCCCGTGACCTACCCAGGGATCTACAAACCCCTGCTCTGAAACCTTTAGTTTCAACGACTCAAAAGAATAACAGATGGCAGGAGGGGAAGGCTGTTCCATGGGGACAGGGACAAAGAGAAGGTGGTTATATGTTTTCTTTTCTCAGAGCCTGATTCTGGGTCATAGTACTGACGGGGCCTCTGAAAGTTTCCTTTCCTTGGTATACCCCTCTACTAAGACAGCAGGAGTACAGCTAACGGGCAAAATACTTTTGTTCTTGGGGGAGATTGCAAAGTAAGGACACTCCTAAAGAGAGAGAGCACAACAGTAGGAAAAGACACAGCCAAAAGGCAGGTGTTGTCATGTAATACTCGGGGTGGGAGCAGCTGTCTTTCTGGCAGGCAGCACAGCTTTGAGCTTTGGCCAAACAACTGTGTCACAAAGGTTTGGGTCTCAGGGAAGGCAACTGCGGGACAGAGGTCTGGATCACTAGCTGTTTTACTTGGGCCATGACAATGACAATCCCAGTCAGTTGCTTTGCCTCCCCTCTGCCCTTTCTTCCATGAAATCAAGTGGTCATGGGTAAGGTTTGGAATAATTTGTCTTCCAGGAATCCCTAGGTGGGACGCTTGACAATGGGCCCTTCCCTTATTAAGCTGCATGTCATCTTACTGCTGATAGTAACTATACTTCAAGGGATGCATTGTGAGTGGGAATATCTTTATTACAAAATAGTCATGCCTAGGAACCTAGTGATGTTCAGAGAACTGAGAGAAAAAACAGAAAATGTGGCCCATGTCCTGCTCATACAAGGAAAATGGCACATTATTAATTTGAAGCAAAAGAAAGGGTTATTTGTCAAGAACTTAGACATGCCTTTTATTCAGGGTGACTGGATACTCAGAGGGTATTCTCTTGTGACTATCAACACTTGCTCAGGGCTAAAGGGAATCCTGACCTGAGATGGCACTGACTTTTACATCAAGCCTATTGAAACTTCAAAGAATTTTGAGCATACAATTTACAGCCTATCCTAAAAATCAGGTGAGTTTTGTGCAGTCGGTGGAGATGAATAGAGGGAGCTCTTAACCACTTCTCAATTTCAGTGCAGAAAGAACCCTCAGTTCCTATGCCCTGTACATGGATACTTCCCAAGTATGTAGAAATGTTTATTGTGGTTGACAATAAGCAATTCCAAATAATAATAAAACAACTACACAAATGATAATGGATGCCCTTGCTCTGGTCAACAGGTACATGAAGGAGCTAAATATGAAAGCAGAATTTACTGGGTTAGAGATACGGAGAGCGAGAAACCTAGTGAAAAAATCTCCCTGGATTTGCAGGAAATACTTCAAATTTTGACTGCTGGAGAGACTAGCATTTTTTGAGAAGGGTGAAGCATGATGTTGCTCATGTGATTATTGGCCAAAGTCTCGGGAAGTACCATGGCCATGCATTTCTCAGTGGTATCTGCACTGCTAACAACCTTTCTGTCATGAAGCTACAGCACATTACACAGCTCTCATGGCTCATGAACTTGGCCACAACTTGAGAATGAAGCGTGACCATGTGGCCTGCAATGCATGAGTATGCATGAACTTATTACTATAGATATGGGCTTCAGCAACTGTAGCTTCCACTACTTCCACCAGCCGTTACATAAGCACAGAGGGGGCTGTCTGTTTCATAAACCTTAGCTCCAAAGCTACTTTGAAAAGTCCTATGGTGGGAATAAGGGAATAGATAAAGAAGAATGTGATTGTGGCAGCGTCCTTCATTGTCAAAAAGATTACTGTTGTCTGCCCTCATGCTGGCTAAAGAAGAGTTCAGATTGTGCATTTGGATCCTGCAGCAAAAATTGCAAAATTTTAAAGGCAACCATACCCTGCCACCTGTGGATGAGGGTGACCTCCAAGAATACTTTAATGGTACCTCCAATTGGCTATAATTACATGAATACCAAGAGGGACAGGTCTAGAAACTGGCAGTTAATCTAATCGGATTTTTAAGATCTTCAGCAAGTGCAAGGCCAAAGCTGTAAAATGTGGGAGGCTGATATGTGAAAACATCCAAAGGCCCCCACACACGGAAAAACACCAAACACTCACCCAGTTCCCCATGCAGGACACATGGTGTTGGGGTGTAGTTTTTTTAAGCCATAAACAGGGATGATAAGGAGTTGAAGGATAGTATCCCAGATTAGACATTCTTACTCATAAATGTGACTCTGCAGTCCAGGAATCTTTTCTTTCCCAAAAGGTTCAAAGTCTACTTATTATTCATTCATTCATTCATTCATTCATTTGTTCATTCATTTATTCTATAACATATTTAGCACTTACTGCTAGATTGAACCATGTAATACTGATGATATTAGATCACTTTCACCTACAAAAATGGCAAGTTCATATGCTTCCACCTAATTCAATGTACTGGCATAGAAACCTACTTTGGACTTCTACTTGTGAATGACAGTTTAGAGTTTTTGATTACTAGAGTTTCTTTTAGTCATGATGTCTCTTAAATCTTATCCCCTGTAACTTCAAAAGATTGGCATTAATTTTCTAGCGTAGGATGGTCCATACTGCCAAGAACTAGAAGAGCACTGACCATATAAGAGACTAGGATATAGTGTATCTGAGGATCCCACCGTCACTTTTTTCATAGCTGTTGTCCTTGCTTATTCTGAGTTTCTAAACCTCTTCAAAGAACAGAAACCCATAACTTTCTTTGTCCAACCTCAGAGACAGTAATAGCAATGACAAGATCTGAGCAAACTATTACATGCCACCCTACTTCCCCTGCACCATGGAGTAGAGAGCCTGGAAGTGACATGTAAAAATAATAACCTGGAATTAATTTTTCTAGAAAAGGCTTACACAAATCCAATATTAATTGAGGTAACATGAGTCTTTTAGATGGAAAGTGGCTTCATCTCCCTGAACAAAGACTTTAAGAATCACTAGTGAATCTGAGAATGAAGAGATCCTGTCCAATTCACCTAATAGCTACTAACCATGGTACTTATATTCTCTTTCACTTTCATAGTTTAAGGTATGGTTAGAAAAGACTTAAGATGTTGTTCTCCAACACTCTTCCCAATCCCTTCGTGTGGAATAACTCTAGTTCCTGGATATTCCAGTATTATAGTTTCAAAGAACGGTGGAGGAGCTGGTAGCAAAAGTAAGGGTAGACTCCAATGGATCTAGGCCCCTGCTATAGAATCTTTTCTGTGAGCATAATAATGGTGTCTGGGTGTCTGCATCACGCCGAGCCTCTTGCTTTAGTTGAAAGAACTTGTATTGTGTCCAGCCATATACTCCACAGTTGAGCAGACCCTGGGATGATGCTGTTAGAGCCTGGAGGAGATGAAGGGGTAATGGAACCCATCCTTCAGGTTTTCAGAGATCCAGGGAATAGTCCCCATTCCCCTTATTTATAAAGCATTGTTATATTTCCTCTATCTCATACATCAAGAACTGGCATCAGTTTTTAATCTTTTTCTAGCTCTTTCTGAACTCACTCTTCACACCATACCTTGTCATGAATGACTGAGAGTTGATCATATTTCTTACTATACACACAAAAGGACAATGATATGGTTTCAATGCCCCTCCTAATCACCCCATTTCCCAGGTTAGGTTTTGAGAAAACTGCCCTATCAGTATAGTCATCCCAAAAAGCCTTCTTAAATCTGATAAAGGAGGAAAAGAGACAATCATTCCATTCCTCTACTATTCCCTTCCCATTCACCTAGAATAGTTATTTAATCCCATTTAACTCATTAAAGATAGGAAAGTATCATGTCACTATCAGTGTTTCATAAGAACACTATCTGGTAGATCTTGGTTTTTGTTACTCATTCTTTAAAAACACATCAATAAAATGAAGTTGACCAGACATACATATGCTATGAAATGCATGGCAGCGTTTCCACAAAAGTATATATCTCATCTGTGACGAAAATTTCATATTCTTTATAACAAAATATAAATAATACATTGTATTTTTTGCAATGTAGAAATAAATACCCTGAGGGGGAAAACTGTGCTTACTGAGTAATGGCAGTGCAACAGAATAGGCTAAGAGGGTGTGAGAACAGAGATGCTGGATGTTGAAGGTGTTACCTGGAGAATATAGAGGGCCATGTGAAGCTTGGTGTCCTGTGGCTTGATCAGCTTTATGACCATCAGAATGACAGCTGTGAAAACACAAAGTATAAATCTTGTTCCCAGCCCTGACTGCCTAAGCATAAAATTCTTTATATATGCCTAAGCCCCATGAGAATGGAAGTTGTAGGCATAATAAAGGCTAGCAGTGAGATTAACCACTTATAGAAACCACTGGGCCTTGGGTCTCAACTTTTAGTCCTCATTGATTAAACTTTGCAGATATTAGTGTAGCAGTGGTGGCAAGACATACTACAGGAAGATAGTAAGTTACACTTTTCAGTGTTTTCAAGTTTACCAAGCTCTTTCATAAACATTATCCAATCTGATCCTCACTACAACCTGATGTAGTAGGAAGGGCAGGTGTTGATATCTCTTGAGTTATGTTAGGACATTTCCTCTCATATCAGGTTGCATCTCATGTCTAATTCTCTTAATTTATAAAACATAAGAAGCAAAAGAAGTTACGGAGGTTGGAAAAAACTAGAAATACGGGTGGGACTAACATAAATTTTACAAGCTGGACAGGAATTTGCAGTCATCCTTCTGGGTTGAGACCACTCTGCTTGATCAGAACCCAATAGGTGTGCTCTTCATTGCCCAGCTCTTTCCATTAGGATACCCACCTGGGCCCCAGCAGCAAAAGAAAGCCACTGGGTAGTAGCGTACTCGCTGCTCCACAATGTGAATCACTGCCCACTGTTCACTCCCCAGAAAGCCAGTTGATTTTACGAACTTCTTATAGAGCATCTGGGCTTGGATGAGTAAGACCTAGACATGGGTACAGCAGTGAGTAGTTTGCCCAAGGCTTAAAAACTTCCCAAGTCGACCCTCTTATCATTTTAGAGGGATCATTCTCTTAGGATCTGACAGCAGGAAAGGCCATTCTTCTGTCTTTACTATTTGATTCCAAACTTTTGCTGAGAGAAAATTATCTTCAGAATGAACTTTTGCTTGACTAGAAAAATGGACAGATATTAGTCAAACTTATTATCATGTTCAATACATTAGCCTTACATCAGTCCTCAGGGTTTTTCTTCTCGCTGAGGCTAATCACAATATGCATGAGATGTTAAAACTAAGATCTAACCAGACTCTCTTTTAAAACGCTTTATTACAGATTGTGTTAGAAAATGTTCTATGCTTAATACACTTAAAATAAATACTTTGGAACTNCTTGGAGCTCAGCTGTGCTCTCCACAACTTGACTGAAAACAATGACTTGACTTGGAGCTGATGGGTCCTGGAAAAACACACTGTTCCCCAAAAAAACTTAAAAAAAAAAAACACTCCCCCTTGCTTCGAACACACTTACGCCATTGTTCTTGCCACTTTCTGAAGCAGTTCTAGAAGTCCTCTTTTGTGAGTGTTTTTAGTTGCACTGTCGTGGCTGCGTTGGTGTCCTGAATCATTTTTTGGGGGGAAGAGCCAAAAGTCACAGGGTGCCAGATCTGGTGAATAAGGTGGTTGAGGACACACTGTAATGTTTTTATTTGACAGAAATCGCCATAACAGAAGCAATGTGTGACACAGAGCGTTGTCATGATGGAGAATGATTTACAGCACACTTGAAAACACACCTTCTCTTAAATGTAGCTCACATCCAACTGACTGCACCAAATAAGTTGAAACTTGTCACACACTGTTACTAAGGTTTGACGCACCGCTTCCCATATTAAAGATCCCTGCCTTTCCATTGGATGGCACTCGGCAGCAGTATTCACCATATCGTTTAATCACTGCAGAAAGGCTCCATGTCACACATCATTTCTGGTACAGCAATTTCTATCAAATAAAAACACTACAATGTATCCTCATCTGCCTTATTCACCCGATCTGGCATCATGCTACTTCTGGCTCTTCCTCAAAGTCAAAATGACCATGTAAAGTAAATGCTTTGAGTCAATTCAGGACACCGAGACAGCCATGACAATGCAACTACAAACACTCATGAAAGAGGACTTCTAGAACTGCTTCAGAAAATGGCAAGAACGATGGGATGAGTGTGTTTGAAGCAAGGGGGAGTATTTTGAGGGGGATTAATGGCAATGTGTCTTTTACTGTAATAAATTATTTTTATTTAAACATTCACCGTATTCTTTAATCATACCTCATGTGTCCAAGAAGGTGAGGAAATCATAAGCATGACAAGTAGAGAAATGGAAGATATAAAAAAGATTCAAATTGAAATTCTAGAAATGAAAAATATAATATATAAAATAAAAATATGGCAAATTAGAAGCTACAAAAGATAAGATTAGTAAACTTGAAGACACAAAAATAGAAACAATCTAAAATGAAATACCTAAAGAAGAAAGACTTTAAAAAAATGAACAAGGGCCAACCGAGTGGCTCAGTTGGTTAAGAGCACGAGCTCTGAGCAACAGGGTCACCATTTTGATTCCCACATAGGCCAGTGAGCTGTGCCTGAGCTGAGCTGCCGCCAAGCTGCCAACAGGTGGCAGGATAGCTCAGCTGGTGATAGCACATGCTCCTAACAACAAGGATGTCCGTTGGACTCCCACATGGGATGGTGGGCTATGCCCGTGCACAACTAAGATTGAACANAAAAAGGCAGCAACTTGTCTGTTCCCCTTCCCCCAATACCCCAGCGCTGTTCCCATCTCCCAATTCCCCAATAAAAATCTTTAAATAAATAAATAAATATATACACACACACACACACACACACACATACATATACAAAGAAAAGAATCCAGATGTACTGACTTAGTGTTCTCTTTTATAATTGTAATGCTAGACAGTGTCCAAAACTCTTTGTGAACCAAGGAAGGGAAGACACCTGCTCTCTGGATTAATCTTGTTTTCTGATTACCACACATTAATTCCTCTGCCCTTCTGCAAACCAATAACTGTTATGCACACACACTGAAGAAATACAGCAGAGCAGAACAAACACTCTCCCTCCTTTCCAGTGCCCGTAGTTCAATCCCATGTTAGCAAACTAAGCACTTTCCCTGACTTTCTCCAAGATCTTCGTCTTTAGCAACAATGATGGATTGGCATGGTGCCAGGAAGGGCTATTTCCCATACTGAGTAGACCCGAGCAGGAATGGCAGTACTGTAAATAACATTTCCTATAATCAAACCCCCGCCACTTTTTTTTGTGTGTGTGGCATCAGAGAAGAAGAAATCATGTCAACAAAATGGAAACTCAATGAGAACATGGTTTTTCTTTTATTAACCTCCATGAATTCACCTATCCAGTGCTGAGTGCTTGCACTGTTTATTAAGGACATACAAATTTGTTTTAGCATACTGTTCTTAACTATAGCTCTGAATAAAACTTACCACGGGAAATGTGCTCTGTCCACTCTGGGTGTGTTTCATCCTCAGCACTTTGTACAGATACCAGATGTAATTGACGGTGTAGAGAAATGAGGAAATGTAGAATATCTAGGTAAAAAAAAACAACCCATCATAACTGCCCCGCTCTGACTTCCTTCAATTTATTCCATTATTTTCTACTATAAGAATCTTAAGTGCTGGTCTATTAGTAACTTACCATCTAGCATCCATACCACGTAAAACATGGATATTCTACCCAGGCCTACCTAAAACATGTCCCAGCTTCCTTATTTTATCCTTTTGACTGTTCAGAGGAACCACAGCATAATCCAACTCCTCTCACCTAACTGTTCCACTTTTATGAAAATATCATAGAATCTTTTATATTTTATTTTTTAATTGAAAAGCCATAAGGATTTCCATTTCTAATAATGATAGCCTAGGCTATATGAACCAAAATTTCCATTTGAAAGAACTTAACATGCTAAATGTTATTGGTGTTTTCTGTTTATCGCTGGTTTGCAGTAATATGATTATGATGTGCCTTGGTGTTTTCTGTATGCCTCTCTTTTTGAGATACAATAAAATGTAATTGTTTTTATTTTATTTTTATTTTTAAATTTAGTTTTATTTATCATCAACTACAGTTGACATTCAATATTATATTAGTTTCAAATATATAGCATAGTGGTTATCTGCATGTTTCTGATGCTTGGTTTTGTTAAGTTTCTTGTATATGATGGTTTATATCTGAATCAAATTTGGAAAAACTTTGGTTATTATTTCTTCAAACATATTTTATTTGTGTTTTGACTTCCCATGCTTTTTAAATCTTTAAAAGCATCAAAGAATTGACAAGATAGCAAAGAACCAGCAGGACAAAATCTAAGGGAAGGAATTTCTGCTTCCATCTTGGATGAAATAACAGTAATAGAATTTGCTATTCAGCCTTAAAAACTAAAAACTGGACAAAATATATGAAAATACTATTTGTGAACAAGTTTTCAAACACTGGATAACAATCAGTGTAGAACAGTAATCCCTGAAAAAAGAAAAACAAACAAGTTGAGTCTATCAAGTGCCCCAGCTCACTGGCTGAAAAAAGTGAATGCAGTGAGGGGGAATCCAAGGGGATCCAAACAGAGGCAGGCCTTGGTGAGTTGAGAAGACAGAGTTCAGAGTTTGGGGGGGCAAAACAGTTAAAATTTTTGAAGCAGATTATTAGAGGAAAAGGAGCCACACAGAGATACAGTGCTCTGGATATTTGCAGAGGTACCCTCAAGTCTTTGATTAACTACTGATCTATGTATGTAGAAGAAAACACCCACCAGAAAAAGAACCACCAGAGAGGAGTAGGTGGAACAATCTCTAATGGAATCCCCAAAAGAATAGTTTGTGTTCCCATTAGCCAGGGTAGAAAGATTTCCTAATACACATGCAGGAATGACAGTACTGTAGAATAATAAGAGTATTGCCTCACTAATGGGACCAAATTAGCTGTATATGAAAGACTGCCCTAATCAAAGCTTAAAATTATGCTTGTGAAAAATAAGCAAGCCTTAAAAGAATCAAATATTGTAGATTGAGTTAACTACATCCAAAACAAACCCTTAAATTAAAATATATGTTTACATACATGTGTATATATAGAAATCTAATACCCAACAATGTAAAATCTACAATGTGTGAATCTAATGAAGTACTATGTCATNTCTCGAACAGGCAACCTTGTTGTTAGGAGCATGTGCTCTCACCAGCTGAGCCATTCTGCCACCTGTTGGCAGCTCAGCAGCAGCTCAGCTCAGGCGCAGCTCACTGGCCCATGTGGGAATCGAAATGGTGACCCTGTTGCTCAGAGCTCGCACTCTTAAGCAAGCTCTTAACCAACTGAGCCACTTGGCAGCCCCCTGCATATGTGGCTTCTGTTCTCATCATGGCAACTTCTTCAGGGAATGACTGTGACTGAATAACCGCTCCCAAATTCCAGTCAGTCTCTTAGTTTGTGAAGGAACAAAGGAATAAAAATTTGCAATACTACCCCTATAAGGCTGTTGAACTTTTTAGACATTCATCTGCCTGAAGGGAGGGAAATGAACTAATTGTTTCTTTGTAGTAGTATCTTCCAGCTCTAGGATTCTAGGATTATATAAACAAACATGTAAAAATATATATAGCCATGGGTCATTTCTAAATTGTACAGAGCTGAGAAACTATACAAGTTTAAAATACAGAAGAGTAATTATAAGTGTTGAATCCCCTGAGGTAAACAAGAGAAAATGGCACCAGAATACAGTCTTGTGCTGTTCAATACAATGTAGTTAAATTAAAATTAAGATCAAATAAAATAAAAAATTCAGTTCTTCAATCACACCAGCCACATTTAAAGTACTCAATAGCTGCATATGGTTAGTGGCTACTGAGCTGGACAATAAATAAAATGTTTTGATCACTGCAAAAATTCTATTGAGGGCCGGCAGAGTGGCTCAGTTGGTTAAGAGCTCGCTCAAGAGTTTGAGCTCTGAGCAACAGCGGTTCGATGCCCAGCCCGAGCTGAGCAGCCACTGAGCTGCCAACAGGTGGCAGGATGGCTCAGCTTAAAAAAAATTCTATTGAACAGTGCTTGTATAGACTTTAATAATTTGTCCAGGATGCTGCGTGAGGGGGTCTCTTTACATTATTTTTTCAATGATTCCGACACTGTCCTTTCTCCTTACAGCAAAAAAGAAAAAGAAAAGTTTTAAAAGCATTTTATGCCTCTGCCCTTCTCTAACTGTGTATCTAGAACAAGTCTAGAAAAAAGCAATTCTTTTCTTAAGAAGAAAAGAATATCTTCTTAAGAAGTCAGTCAGATTAGGACTTAAGAGTATCATAGCATTTTAGAGTTGGATGAGACATTAAAGATCACATAGATCAACACATCATATGATGAAAAATCAATGACAGAACTGGGTCTAGAAGACAGATGTCCTGGTGCATCTTCAAATACTCTTTTCACAATGTTCTAGCACCATTTACTCAGTCAAGAACTATTTATTGAGTTTCATCATGTGCATGAGAATATACCACTTTCATTTGTTCTAAAAAGGTATGTTGGGAGGCCCTCCAGGTTCATTTACTCCATGGTGCCCTTAAAAACATTCTCTTTCAAAAAAACCACAACAGAATGGATACTGCAGAAATAAGGAGACTGGAATACTTAGTAAGACATATATAATAAGATTAAAATATATAGACATTTAAATAAATTAAAATTGCTAACATCATAAAAATGTCTTCTGCCATGACCACTTAAGTGATATACTGAAAGAATCAGAAATAAAGAAACAAAGTGTGGGGCTGGCCAAGTGGCTCATTGGTTAAGAGTTGGCTTGGGAGCATGAGCTCTGAGCAGCAGGGCCGCCGATTTGGATCTCACATGGACCAGTGACGCTGTGCCCTCTACAGCTAAGATGGTGAACAACAGCTTGACCTGGAGCTGGGCTGCCGTGAGTCACCAGCGACAGCGTAGGCTGNCCCTTCCTTTTGGGGGCTATCTTTATAGGGTTTAGCTAAGGAAAGAAATATAAATCAGTTCAGAAGTCCAATGTGCTTTTTGTGGGGAGTAAATTAAGCAATAATCCTGGTAACAAATCTGATCAAATCTGAAACCTTTCCCTAATAATCCAGATCCACTCTCTAAGTTTATAAGTAATTAAGTTTAGCCATGTAGTTTCTTTCCCCACAGACATAGGAATCAAAAGGAGGCCTGAACTTAAATTTGAAAATATTTGTCTACTAGAATCAATTCACCATCTGTTGATTTAAAAAGAATCAGAAAATGTTAATACTGAATGCCCAAAAACACCTGGGTTATTCTGAAGAAGAAAACAGGAATCCCCAGGGTGCCAGGCTACCTGTCTCTCTTGTCAATCAGTTCTAAATGCAAACCATCAAAGCCAATTTAATATAAATTAGTCACTATACACTCTTCAGAAAGTTGCAGATTTGAGCTAAGCTATCTCCATAACTTATTTTTGAGTTGTGAAAGGAAATTCTACACAATTACATTTGGTTCACATGTACTAACTGTGCTAGGAAACAAAACATATTTGTGGGATAAATTTCTTCTGCAGACAGATAGTGTTTAATCCCTGAAATATGAAGAGAGGAGAAAATTATACTAAAAAAGTAGATATGGCAAATAAAAAGGCATATTTGCTTGCTTAGTGACTTTCTACTAGGCAGTTACATATAAAAATGTATTGTCCCATCCCATATCTGATTTTAATTGTACATCATTCTGATGAGGTCACATGAATATTTAATTAACTGCCTGAGCCTCTTAACTCAGTTGGACAGAGCATAAATACAAATTTATAGCTAATAAAAAGTTGAGAAAAGAAAATTCTTTCATTACTTAGAAAATTAAACTAAAGCACATGTTCTATGTTCCAGAGTGTCATTCTAGATAAAGGATATACTTGACACACATTAGTTTTCCGGTCTGATCTGCCATGAGGATAATTCCCACAAAATGAATACAGGCTCTTTTCTCCACTTATCATTTGATCTTGGGAAATCCAAAGGACTGAGGTAGTAATTAAATTGTCAATATCTCCTAGCTACTTTCTTGTTCTATGACTGTAGAAAGTGCTTCTCCATCCCATCTTTCCCAGGCCCTAAGAATACTGCCCCATCCCTCCCTACACCCCTTCTTTTCATAAAGGCAGTAAGGTGGCACCATACCACAATGGTGAGGAGGCTGAGTAGAAAGCTGACCAGGAAAATGGCGAGTCCATAAAAATAAAGTGTGCTACAGATGGATGTGTTGGCAGGAGGCAGGAGTTCAGCCATGGCTGATGGTGATGAGTATATCAGGATACACCTAGGAAGAGAACCAATGGACAAGAGTACTGATACAGATATAAGAATAGAGAGAGGCCTATCAGTGCAACAAAAGATAAGGAGTAAGGAATTTTACTTATCATTTTGCTAACCCTTGCCCATAATGCCTTGTTCTTTCTCATAGACACATTGTCTTCTAGTCACTTTGTGTTATATTCCTACTTAAGTATTTTCAGCCTTGACTACACGTTGTTCCATAGCCCATTTCTACAATAATACAAGCACCTTGGCCAAAATGTATGTAGAAAGTCTTCTTCCATCTCTCTTTATAGAAAAGAATAGGTGAGGTGTAGTCCACCATGAAAATGAGAGATTTGGTCTTTACTTACCTGTGGCTCTGGCTGAAGTTGAGGAAGCAATCGCTGGCATTGCCCAGACAGAATACAGGTATCATCAATAGTAAAGGTATCAGGCTGGAAGGAGAAAAACTTATCACCCTAATATTCAGACTTTTTCATGCCCTTTTCCATTTGCAAAATATTATCTTGCTCTTCTCCCATCTCCATCGCCCTACCACTCTCCACTAATACATACACATGTAATCTCTTCAAGAAAAATACTTCAAAAATCTGAAGTACACCTTCTTTTCCAGTTCCCAGGAAGGGGAGTGAGGAATGCATTTTATACGTAGGGTAATGAAACCCTAACAGTTTCATAGACAGTCTCTGGGAGTTGTGTGGTCAAATAAAAATCTAAGTGGGTCAAAGTGGAAGAAAAAATCTAACAAGGAGCTCTGTGCTCGCTCAGTCTGTTTTACTTTCCATGGTGACCAGGAATAACTTCATTCTCATCAGCCCCTTCCTGGGAACTTTTCCAAAGCATACTTTTAAATAACTAATTATTTATCCAGAGGAAAAGATCCAGGAATAAAAGTTACAAAATCTAAAACCAATTCTGATGTGACCACTTAGGTGAGATCCACACCCTTTATAGGCTTAATAATTTTAAGAGTTTATAACACCCAATGTTATAAAGGTGGATGAGATCTTAAGAGCCACCTACTACAACTCTTTATGATATATTAAAAGGATTTAGGAGTGCAAAGATTTAAAGGGAAATATTTGTTATGGTCACACAGAGTTGGTGACAGAATTGGGGCTAAAACCCAAATCTGTAACTTCAAACTGCCTTTCTACCTGAGAAAATGGAACCAATGATCACGTATTTGTTGTTTAATACTCAGTAAAGCGCCATGAGGACCTACACATCACAGACTCAATGGAAATAAAGGGTACTGTTCTCCTATTTTTTCCCACCTAGAATCCAGAATAATGAGTATACACCTTTCTAGGAAGGAAAGCAAAAATCTTACCTTGACAAAATGATGGCTATTTGACCAATTCGATAAGTATTATCTATAACCTATGAAAAGAATAAATGTGAGTAATGTCTTAGGATATTGCCAATCATATTATAATACCAGGTCATCATTTACCACTTGACAGAACAAAAGTTCCCAAGAGCCCGCTTGCTTAGTTAAGCAATATTTGCTATAAAATTCAATGAAATAGGTAGTTCCTTAGCATTGGAGGTTAAGAGAATTTTATCTGTATTAGAATTTTATTCTAAAAAGTAACAATAGCCACAGAAAGAACTTGCAGGAAGTAGCTTAATATAAGATTTAGATACCAGAAAAATTTTCTTAAGAAGAAAGGCAAATAAGAAATTACACAATGTTCCATCTTCTAATAACAGTTCAATCCTCTTCTCTTTTACATCCAGGAGGTGTGGGTTTTTCAGACCTTATGGGTGGAGTGAAAATCTATATATGTATAAGATGACCAGCATAATAGGCCAGGGTTAGTATAATAAGGGCAGGGTGAAATAAGCCTTTTGGATTATAAGCCCTTCAAGACCTGTTAGATTCTAAAAGAATATTTCAAAAATCTCCAGTTGTGTTAGACACTGGAAAACAACTTATACAAGAGTGTTCCCTACCCACTAGGAATTTATGATGAAAGATGAACAGAACACCTTAAAGAGATAAGAGAATAGAAAACAAGTTTGTGTGTGTGTGTGTGTGTGTGTGTGTGTGTGTTTTCTATTTTAAGGAAGAGAACATCTGGAATGGCACTGTCAGGGATAAGTGAGCATTAAACAATAAGCATTAAGTGAGCATTAAACAATAATCAGAGATGGGGCCTTTATTTTCCTTGAGAACTTTGAATGAAGAATAGCAAATGATTTCAAGTAGGATAGCCAGTGCTGACTTTAGGTAAAATGAGAAATAAGTTAAATTAGTCTCTGATTACCTCTCCCACCCATGTCCCTCCATCTCTTTTTATTCTATCCTCTATCCATCAGGTGGCTATCCTGTGTTTAATTCTTGTTCTTACTTGGCTGTCAATGAATCTCTGGTAACAAGCTTACTGAAAAAAGTTTAGGGCAGAAGTCCTGCTAGGGTATTTAAAAGAGAACTCAGAAATGAAAAAAAAGAAAACAACTTCAAGGCTCCTGGTATAAACCTATGATAGAATAATAGGCAGTGGGGTTAAATTTTTTGGCTAGAGTTTATCTTCTTGGAACTAGTGTTGCAGCATGTGTTATATAAAGAAAAGTACAGTATGTGCCTTTGTATGCATAGAAAGCAGTAGAATACTATATATGACAGTTAATCTTATGTCGCTCCCTCCCTTTTCTTCAAAGACTAGTTTTCCTGACAGGAGCCTAAGCCTCAGAAAAATACTCCCCCACGTTGTCCCCATCCATGGCGGCTTCTTCTTCTTTTTTTTAAAGTATCTCTCTCTTCTTTTGTTTTTTGTTTAAGATTTTATTGGGGAATTGTGGGGAGGGGAACAGTGTTGGGGAGTTGGGAGAGGGGAACAGCCAAGTTGTCCTTCAATCTTAGTTGTGGAGGACGCAGCTAGCTCATCTCCAAGTCCAGTCGTGCCACTCAGCTCAAGGTGCTGTGTTCAATTAGTTGCAGGTGGGTGTAGCAACCATTCCATGCAGGAGTCGAACCAGTAGCCTCGTTGTTAAGAGCATGCACTAAATCCCCTGAGCCACCCGGGTGGCAGCTCAGCTCTAGGTGCCAAGTTTAGTTTTTAGTTGCGGGTGGGCATAGCCCACCATCTCGAACAGGCAACCTTGTTGTTAGGAGCATGTGCTCTCACCAGCTGAGCCATTCTGCCACCTGTTGGCAGCTCAGCAGCAGCTCAGCTCA